GGGGGGGGGGGTTGCTACACAGATGTCCGTGGAAGCTGTGAAGCGTGAGTCATGGTGTGAATATAGAAGCCCTGAGTTGTCATCCCTGGTGAGCAGGGAGGATGTATTTCTTAATATTAAAGTTCCTTTTTTAATTTTAAAAGAAAATGACTTAAAGCCTCCTGTCCTTTGGAGACTGGTTGTCAATGGCATCATTGCAGGTTACCATGGCAATCTATGCTGAGATAATAGATTAACAGCCATTGATTGACTAGAAAACTTAGAGCTCTTTTATCGTGGGATATGCCAAATGTATTGACAGAAAACAGAATTCCAAGTAATATCCTCCCTTGGTGTTACACCGTTCCCGTTCTCGGTGCTGCATGAGCCTGGTTTTACCTGATCTGGCTTAAGAACCAAAACATTTTGTCATAGTTGATGCTTTACTGTGTAGGTTTTTTTGTTTTTTTTTTAATTAGCCAGGGCACTGCTCATCCCTGCACATGGCTGGCTGGAAAGGGCAAGCCCTGGGTATCTGATGGCTCAGAGCCTGGGCGCATGCTGGCCACAGGGGTCCCCAAAAGGTGGGGTGAAGTTTTGGGTCATCTCTGTTATGTGGGGCTCTGCTGTTTCAAAGCTTTTGTGAAAGAACGGGAGAGACAAGTGAGGAGTCTTTAAATCCTCATGTACAGTTACGTACTCAACCACAGATGTCATCGCTAGTTTGATGTTTTGCCTAAAAACGTATTTAGACTCTATTATTTAAGTACAGCAGGAATGAAATCACCCCACTTGGGGAATAAGTGCTGGAGCGACGCTTACTAATTGCAGATTCATTATCGGCTCTGTAGAGATGCAACTGGGTGGTCTCTCCAGAGCAACATTTTCCAAACTTTCCCAGTTGCAGGCCTTCCCTCTGGCTTGATTTTGGGATCTGAAATGCTAGCAAACAACTATTTGATTTCCTTTGATTTGCCAGTTCTGCACACATAACTTCTGGGCAGGTGTCTGGGAGAGGGAGAGCAGCCCTTTTTCCTTGGTTTCCCTCCTCCCCAGTGCCTCCCAGGTGGGCATGGTGGTCCCCCCACTGAAGGATGTGCCAAAATGCAGCCCTGGGTTCAGAGGGCTCTGGTTTAGCATCCCTGCAGGCACTGAGAGGTGGGAAGGGTGGTGTTGGAGATGCTGGGCTGCCAGGTGAGCACCCAGCAGCCTCCTGTTTCCCAGCTCTGCTCAACCACGCCGTGGTTTGAGGGATAGCTCTTGAAAACAAACCCAAACCTCAAACAAAGGGCCCGACTTTCATAATCACACATGCAAGAATGCATCCGCAGTTGCTTAATTGCTACATGCAATTACCCTCCAAATTAGAGGGCAATTACCCCAATTCAGTGTACAATCTCTGTCATTTTATATTATAAAATTACATGTACAAATAGCTATATAGGGACATAACTAAGTGTTTGCAAATAACTTCAGTTGCATACACAGTTTCATGTATAAAGCCCGGTGGTTTTGACAGTTAGGCAAACAGACTGTCTGGTAAATCACTCAGTGTTTATGCAGACTATTTTGACACATCCCATCTTTTCGTATATACTTTCATTTTAGGTTTTAAAAAGGGGACAGGCAGGAGATAAAGAGCTGAGATTTATAGCAGCCTTCAGCCTTGGGGAAGATATTCCCTATGTATCTAATTATGAGTTAGGAGCCCAGCAACTGCTAACACCTAGACCTGGAGTTGCTACACGGGATCTTGGCTATAATTTAGCAGCTGGTGGATAATGACACAGCCTCAGTGATCTGTCGGCAGCTCCAAATTAGGAGAGCAGAGTTTAGCCTCAGATCAGCAGCAAGGCCCCATGCCTCAGCAGGCTGAAGTCCTTCAGTTCACGAGGACCCTTTTTAATGAGCTCCCTCCGTGCCTTGCAACTCCCAAGTAGAGGAGAGAGGTCTTCCCGTGTTGCACGGTGTTTCCACTGCTCTTCCCATCATTATGTGCCTCAGATAGGTGCTGGGGGTCTTGCTCGGCAAAAACCTGGTGATGCTTCAGTCATTTGGAGCAGAAAATTGACCCAAGGGAAATCGGCGTAATGATGGTTTCTCAGGGCTGAGGTCAAAAAGTTGACTTCCACCCCAAAAATGGCTGGTGGTGGGTAGATTCCCTCTGCCTTCATGATGTGTTGGGAAGTATTTGGGCTTGGTGGTGTTTTGCGTAAAGGTATTTGTGTGCAGCTTTTGTTCGAGGAAGGTGTTGGGAGAAGCCACTCTGCGTCATCTCCAAAGTGCTGGGTGGATGCAGTGGGATGCCAGAAACCCATCTGCTCCTTTGAAGCCTGATTCTGCCTTTAGACTTCGATTTCAAACAGCACTTCAGGCTTTATTCCTTCAATGACTGTTTGTAGATCGTGGTGTGAAATTGTTGATGGCTTTTTGCCTGGCTGCTGACACAAGGCTCTTTTCCATGGAGAGAACTGGGGCTGTGCTGCTGGAGATGCTCCTGCCCGTTCTGCGTGCTCCTGCTTTGCTCGCTCAGCATTTTCAGCAAAGCGTGGTGGGTCCTTCCACCTCCTGTACTTCCTGCAATCATGGTTGAAACATCTCCCCTGCAAAATGCATCCATGTGGCAGGGGTCAGCAGGTCCCACCGGGCGTTTGTACCTCTTGCCTGTACCTCATGGGAGTCTCTGCCGGGTAGGAAACAGCCTTTTTTTCCCTGACTTATGCTGGTGGAGTTGGATTAGGTGGGAGGAGAACAGGGGCACAATGAATTAAACCAAGTTCCGACAATGATCTTCAAACACTTGCTTAGCAAATGTTTTCTATCTCGCGCCGCCCAAGTCCTGTTGACTTTCTGCCAAAAGCCAAGCAGTTCCCCAGTATGTTTATTTTCCACCCCACACGAGCTGG